TATATATAGTTGTTGTTGTTAAGTGCCGTCGAGTCGGTTCCGACCCATAGCTACCCTGAATAGGGTTTCTGAGGCTGTAAATTTTTACAGGAGCAGAAAGCCTCATCTTTCTCCCACGGAGCACCTGGTAGTTTTGAACTGCTGACCTTGGGGTTCACAGCCCGATTCATAACCACTACGCTACCAGAGCTCCATATATATATATGTTGTTGTGTGCCGTGGAGTCGATTCCGACTCATAGCGACCCTACACAGGGTTTCCGAGACTGTAAATCTTTACGGGAGCAGACCGCCTCATCTTTCTCCCACAGAACCGCATATATATATATATAAAATGTTGCTGTTAAGTGCTGTTGAGTCAGTTCTGACTCTTAGCAATCCTATGTAAGGTTGTCAAGGAGTGACTGGTGAGTTGAAACCACCAACCTAGCAGTTCAAATTGATCTTGTGGTACAGTGCTTATTCTACAGCACCACACCAGGAGTCCATTTCTATCTCTGTCTCTTATGTAGGTCAAATTAAGTAGTAATCAAACAAAAAATATCCAAATGGGGAGTAGATGTATCCCAGAGTATTTTTGTTGATCAAACTTTATCTTTTTTGTTTTAGTATCCTCTGAGTTGTTTCTAGTTGCTTTCTTTTTGTTCTGTATCAATATGTATTGCACCCCATTGTGACAAACAGAAACTAAACTTAAAGACCCCCCTTTACTATTACAGTGGGAAAATGGAGGTGAAAGTCCAAGTGAATTTCTCAGGGTCATGGCTAGACAATGGTAGGGTTAAGATAAGAATCCAGGGCTCTTTGTTTATGTGTTGGTGTATGGAAAAAGGCATCTATTCATTTTACTCATTTAGTATAAGAAGACTAGCCCAGGATCTTCTATTTACGAAGAATGTGTCACTGAAAAATATCAGCATGAAATTCTTCTTTCCACTAAAAGAACATTATTGAACAAAAGTAGAATTTATTTAGTAATAATTCATTAAATAGTTATATAGCTCAAACTGCTTGGGAATTATTTTGGGAAATAAAATGTTTTCTCCTCTATTATTTGCTTCTTAGGTTAAATTCACCTAAAATTTTACGTGTCTATGGTGGCATTTTAAATCAATCAGAAATAAAAGATGATACACTTTCCTTTGGGGTTCAAGAAATAATAATTCATGATCAATATAAAATTGCAGAAAGTGGGCATGATATTGCCTTGTTGAAACTTGACACGATAATGAATTATACTGGTATGTTGAATTTTAATTGGAAAGTTTATAAATAATGGCCACTACCTCCATCATATTCATGGTGGTGGTGGTGGTGGTGGTGGTGGTAGTGTGCCGTGGAGTTGGTTCTGACTCATAGAGAACCTACATACAGTTTCTGAGGCTGTAAATCTTTACAGGAGCAGAAAGCCTCATCTTTCTCCCACAGAACTGCTGGTAGTTTTAAGCTGCTGACCATGAGATTAGCAGCTTGACTTGTAAACTGACAGAGTATTAATCTCTCTCTATGTTATTTTCATGAAAAGGGAAAGGGTTTGGAGAACTGGCTTTCCAATGCTGTCACTGAACTTCTTTCTTGATTATTGAATCTTATGAGGGTTTGTTTAAAGACAGAATGTTTTATCTAAGTTTCTTTGGATGCACAGAATAACATATTAATTTTGTAATATATTAGAATATGAAAGATGAGTATGTCTAATACTTCTCTTTTAGGTAGGAGGGAATTGAAGGTCAGAGTGGTTGAGCAATTTGTTCAGAGCCACAAACTATTTAGAGTAATGGAAATTGACAAGAAGGGGTGTGACTTATCTTCTTCTTGTCCCTAGTCCTGTGATGTATTTTACATAGTACTGTACAGGGATGGAAATGTATGATAATGACACAAAGAATGAATATGATAATTAGAGAAGTCACTAAATAATGTAAGGTGAAAGACAAGAGTCTTTCCTGGAAAATAAGATCTATTTTGCTTCTGAAAACTAAGCCATGATTTTTAAAATTTAGAATACCAACGGCCCATATGTCTACCTTCAAAAAGTGATCGAAACATCATATATACTGATTGTTGGGTGACTGGATGGGGCTACAGAAAATTACGAGGTAAAAACTGATGTTTAATATACAATTTGTCCTAAAGATAAAGAACAAGTTTGACCATAGCATTTTCTGATATTTCAAGCCATCCAGAAATATTTCTTGATATTTCAAGTCAGTAGAACAACATTGTTCAATTGCAGAAAATGTATTGATGAAGACAGAAGGACAATAAACCCCGCAACTGATGATGATAGTATGCCTGCTTGATTACAAATCTTAAATATTACTGTTGTTGTTAAGTGCCGTAGAGTCAGTTCTGACTCATAGCAATCCTATATAGGGCTTCCTAAGAGAGTGGTTACTAATCAGGCTGCAAACCGCAAGGTCAGCTGTTCGAAACTACCAGTTGTTCCGCGGGACACAGATGAGGCATTCTGCTCCCCTAAAGATTTACAGCCTCAGAAACCCTGTACAAGGTCGCTATGAGTCAGAACTGACTCCATGGCACATAGCCAGCCAAGAGAGGTTGGTGAGTTTGAACCACCAACCTTGTGGTTAGCAGTCCTGTGTTTATCCTCCAGCACCACAGCAGGACTCTACATCTCTTTAAGACCAAAAAACAAACTCACTGCCATGAAGTTGATTCCCAGTCATAGTGACCCTATGTTGCTATTGTTGTTGTTAAGTGGCCCTCCAGTCAGTTCCAACTCCTAGTGACCCTGTATAGGATTTCTGACAGCTGGTGGACTTTGTGGTTAGCAGTCCAATGCTTATCGTAGTGACCAGATAGGGCAGAGTAAAATGCCTCCATAGAATTTCCAAGGCTGTAAATCTTTACGGAAGCAGGGTGGCTCATCTTTCTCCTGAGGAATAGCTAGTGGGTTCAAACTGTGGATCTCTCAGTTAGCAGCCAAGCACTTTGACCACTGTACCACATATCTTTAAAAAGTAATCATTTTAAATGGAATTTAATGTGAAACTTGCTAGAATCTTGGTGTGGCGCTGTGGGTTAATGCGCTGGACTGCAGGGTCAGTTTGAACTGCAAGGTCAGTGGTTCAAACTCACCAGCCGCTTCCCAGAAATCCTATACAGGGTTGCTATGAGTCAGAACTGACTCAATGACACTTAACAACAGCAACAACAATGTGAAACTTAACACTTTTCATTGAATGTTCTAATTTGTTATCTGATTATTTTCCATGGGAAGTAATTCCAGTTAGAACAAAAATTAGTTTTTTAAATTTAATTAATGTTAACAAAATAATTATTGATAGTAGCAATAATGCCATCTTTATATTCTGTAATTATCATAAAAGTTATATGAGGTATTTTTCTTTCAGAATAGTGTATTGAGTTGTTATATATATATATATACACATATGTGTATAAAAAAAAGAAGTTATTCAATTGATAAACCAAAAATTATAAATATATGTGCATAAATGTTTTCCAGGAAAAATAGAAAATACTCTCCAGAAAGTTAAAGTTCCATTGGTAACAAATGAAGAATGTCAAACACGATACAGAAAGCATAAAATAACCAATAAGATGCTCTGTGCTGGCTATAAAGAAGGAGGAAGAGACGCTTGTAAGGTAATACTGTTCTTAATAATGGAATATGCTCAAGTAGGAATGTTAATTACATTTTAAAAAGAATTCTTTTGCTAATGAGCAGGGAGCTCACTACATGTTACTCTCCTTACACTGAGATCTAAAATGAATCTAGTTACTGTCAACTGGATTCTGACTTCTGATGATTCTAACGTCACAGTAGAACTGTGCTCCATAGGGCTTTCAATGACAGAGTTTTTTGGAAAAAGATCATCAGACCTTTCTTTGTAGGTGCATCTTTGTGGACTTGGACCTCTAAACTGCTGGTTAGTAGCTGAACGCATTAATGTTTGTACCATTCAGAAGGATTCCATAGAGTTGATGTTGTTTTTGCTGTTAAGTGCTGTTGAATCGGTTCTGACTCATAGTGACCCTACATAGGGTATCTAAGGAGCAGCTGACCTTGCTGTTAGTAGTACAGTGCTTATTCCACAATACCACACTGTAATGGGTAAAAAGTGTTTAGTCTGGCTCTTTGAAAATGATTTAAAGGTCAAGACAGATTTTTAGGTGCAATTACTATGATTAAAATGCTCATTTATGATGGGAAACATCTGAACTGACCCTTGAGCCTTTTCTTTTCTTATAGGGAGATTCTGGCGGCCCCCTATGCTGTAAATATGAAGACGTCTGGCATTTGGTGGGTATCACGAGTTGGGGTGAAGGCTGTGCCCAAAAAGGGCAGCCAGGCGTTTATACTAATGTGGTTGAGTATGTGGACTGGATTTTAGAGAAAACTCAAGCAGCATGAAGAAGTTCCTAGGTGCCATTTGGCTCCGTGAAGGGCAAGCCAGATTATCCCCTTTGATTTCACTGAAGAAAAACCTGTGCCATCATTTTCACTCACAGATAGCAGTGCCAGTGAGACACTCACAAATTGGAAGGGATTTTATATTCATGAGAAAATTTTGAAAGAAAGCATACTGTCGTTTTCAAAGCTCCCATTGTATAGCAATTATGGTGTTTCCAGAATCCAGTCTTCTGTTTTTTTATTATACTTTAAGTGAGACAAATAAATAAGACTATATTTTTGAAGACTCATACAGAGGCCACAATACCGGAAAAGAATCTAGTAGAGTGCCAAGGGATTAGGCAGAACTATGAAAAGATACCACTGTAAAAGGATTTGTTAAATGGCCAATGAGAACTGGATGAATTGACCTAGGACACTCATCATCACATTTCAAGAAACTCTGCCGTGACATTATAACATTTCTTTGAGAAAAAGAAGGATTTTAATTTGATGGTGGTTTTTAGAATACATAGGAATTCTTGTCCATTTGATATTTAATATGTTTTAAAACTTATTTTGACTAAACACAGGCTGAGTATAGAAGCAGAATCCAGACTGTACTGTCAGAAAGGATTGATAATTCGCATGAAGTTGGACCTTAGATGCCCTTGCCTAGGAAGCTATTTGTGCATAGATTGCTGATGTATTTGAAGTGGTTTTGACTGGACAAGGGTGATGGACATAGGGGAGCAAGCTAAAAGCCCCTTGTCTTAGACAAGCTGTCACTGTGAGGATGGTTAACAAAGAGTATGAAAGTGGATGTTTTAGACAAAAATCAATATGAAGTACATCTGTACTTCATGGGGGATCAAAACAATTTGGGAGCAAATGAATGGTTAGAATAGAGTCTTCAGCATTTCTAAAAGAGTTTCCTATGTTCTAAATACTGGGGTGCTCTCATTAGTACATGTATTTATTGGTTATTATTTCTGATTATATTGTAATAACTTGGAATTTGGATTCTCTCCACAATAACTCTCTGTACCATACTATGTATTTAGTATGAAAAATCTTTACTGTGGGCAATTCATGAGCCAGTGATGTGATAGTATCACACTGAGCTTTGGGGATGCAGTGATGAGCAAATAGACTTTGTCCCTACTTTCATGAAGCATCAATCCAGTTATCATGAAAAACAGAAATAAAATAATCACACAGAATATATAATTTCATGCTGTGGTAAGTGAGTCATTCAGGTTTTTATAAGACGGGAAGGGAAGAACATTTTGGTCAGTTTCAAAGACGGGGGGGGAAAATGGAGTTTGTCTTCAAGAAGACAGAACAGGAAGACAAACACAAAACAAGAAAACAAACTAAAACACCAAAAACGAACCAAAACAATAACTTAAGATATACCTGACTGTAAAGGTACAAAGGGGGCCACATCATAAATGTTTATTAACTCAGGCAAGACTGGAACTGAACATTAGAATGCCTTTTTGATTATCAAATAATAGCAATAATAAATAATGTTTTATTATGTATTTCTTACTGTAGAAGTCTTGAGGTAATGCTAGACATATACAAATTTAGGATGTAATTCCAGATAAGAAGAGATGTTTCTGTAAAGGCTTTCCTATGAAATATTTGCGGAAAAACACATTTTAGTTTTGTAATATTTAACTTTGCATAATGTCTTAATGTGGTGCCATAGGATAAGGTTTCGATCACAAGATCGGTTTGAATTTCAACGTTGGTGGTTCAAATTTATCAACCACTCTTTGGAAACCCTATGCAGTATCACATTGAGTTGGAACCGACTTGATGGCACTTAACAACAACAAGAAGCTAATTTTCAGGAGTCCTGATGTGGCACTGTAGAATGAGCATTGGACTGCTAATCACAAGTTGGCAGTTTAAACCCACCAACAGCTCCTTGGAAACCTTATACAGGGTTTCTATGAGTTGAAACCAACTTGACGGCATTCAACAACAAGTTAATTTCCATGATTTATAAATGAAAACATTGTTGTTTTAATTTCATCTGTCTAATATCACAGTGATTTTGTAGGATAAACAATGTACTTCAAACCACAAGGTCAGCTGGTCAAGCCCACCAACTGTTCTGAGGGAGAAAGTTGAAGCTTTCTGCTCCCACAAAGATTTACAGCTTTGGAAAATCTATATAGAGTCATTTTGAGTCAGAACTGACACAAGACCACTTAACATTTACCTATTTTCTTAGACAAATGTGTAGAGACTGAAGTTCATGAGCAGTTACCAGTGGCAGGAATGGGGCAGAGTGGGGGAAGGAGGAGCCACTGTTAGGAAGCTGTGAGTGTTTATGTGGATAAGAAATAAGAAAGATGGTGGTTAGCATGATTAATGTAATTGATACCTCTAAAACTTTCATCTGAAAAGTGTTTGATTGAAAACTATTGTGTTACATATATTTTATGACATAAAAAGCAATTGCAGTAATACAAGAAAAGTCTATTTTTAAAATGAATTTGATTCAAAGAAATGTTGTTGACAACTTTTGATAAAGCTGCTCTTGTTCTAATGAGCGGTACTCATGGATGACAGTGAGGAGGCCTCTCTCGACCCTCTCCAGGACCCAGTTGTTGTTGTTAGGTGTCCTCAAGTTGGTTTTGACTCATAGCCACCCTGTGCACAACAGAACAAAACACTGCCCGGTCCTGCACTCACCTCACAATTGTTGTTACATTTGAGCCCATGGCTGCTGCACTCTGCCAAGCCATCTCATTAGGGGTCTTCCCCTTTTTCACTGACCCTCCCCCTTGCCAATCACCTAGTAAATTGCTGTTATCACAAACTCCAAAGATTCAACCTAAATTTTGGGATAAGAATCATATATGACTAAACAGTTTAAGAAATAATTGTACATGTTTTTAAAAACACGCTTATTTTATAAAAAATAATTGTTTAGAGACGTAGTCACCAAATCTTTTAAAACGGATTAAATTTATTTTAGTTTTTAAATGAAATGAAGGAAAAATTACAAAATAGTTATCATTGGTTTTATTTGTGACATTTGAGATATGAAGCAAATGCTGATTTATTGTTGTTAAGTGCCGTGGAGTCGGGTGTAACTCATAGCAAACCTGTATAGATTTCTGAGGCTTTAAGTCCCGTGGAATGGCTGCCACTCTCGAACCATGGACCTTGTGGTTTGCAGTCCAGTGCTTATTGCAAATGTCCTTTACTATACAAAATAATGAGAGTTGGGTATAAAGGTTTATCTTTCTAAAATGAACACATTATTATTAAGTGTCATTATCCTCTGAATTTTCATATCTGGGTATGTGAATGACCACTTGGAAAGTTTTTAAAAAGAGCTTTTGACTTGAGTTACAACTAGAAAATACTGAGTTTTATTCTTCATAAAGAACTGTTTATTTTCTAAAACAGAGACCCTGCTTTGTTTACCATTTTAATCAAAAGTCAAATATTAAACAAAAGAATATTTAACACAAAGACTACATTTGTAAAGAATATTCTTTACAAAGAAAGCATTTTCCACTATATATAATCTACTTTTGACCTGACCTATTATCCTGCTCCTTAAAGAATTAGAGAAACTGTGACTATTTTCATTTAGGAGAATGTCTCCATCTGGCTGTACTCAAACATGTTTCTCTGTTTCTTTTATTGTGAATTATGTGATAGTTTACATGGGAGAACATTAGCTTTACATTCATCCTATTGTATATCGTTTTGTTGCCATGATTACAATCCCCTGCATGCATCATCAAACAACCAAAGAGTATACCCCATAAATCTGCCCCTCAGTCATCAGCACACAGCCCCTCTCCCTCCCTGAGTCCAGAGTCCCCAGTGCTCCATCTCTGGCTTCACTCTTTCTCTGGGTAGGGTCCCCCACTTCGCTCTTCCTCCCTGATGGTCCCAGGGACCTCCGCTCCTGAACTACAAAGTCAACCACTCCCCTCCTTTTGCCACAAAATGTCTACCTTTATATTTCTAACCCTCACTGTCAGTCCTGATAGTAATTATTCACTATTTTACCACAAGAGACCTATCCCCATCTCCTTTCATCAGCCCTGCCCAGCCAGATTGGATACTACTCAGTGGAGATTCTACCTTCCTCCATGCCCTCTAGATATAGGCTCCCTCTTGAAAGCTTGTAAGCCAGTCACTTCTTGCCTTTGTAGCCCTCCCCCCGCCCCACTCTATTTTGGGTAGCCAATGTCCAAGTTGCCCATCCTTGTCTACCCTGTGTATCAAGGGGGTGAGAATGAATCTCTTTTTCTTGTCTGAGTTATACATTGTCTAATACTGCTTCATGCTGCCCTCTCCTTTGCATGTCTTACAGCAGTGTCAGTCACAAAGAGTGTTTCGTTTCCTTTTCCTCATGTGAGACAATGTTCATATTCTGGTTGACAGTCTCCCAAAGTTCATATTGAGAGAATTTAACAAAAGCACTGATGTTTCAGCTCCAGCTCCAGCTCCAGGGAATGGTGTTGCTTATTGTTGCAGTAGTTTCACAAGATGTCTGTGAAGCCACCTGTTCTCTGGAGAAGGCTTTCTCTGTGCCACGCAGAGATGGCGGCCATGTAACCACTGCTTTCCTGTGGTGGCCTAGTGAGCTCTATCCTGACTCTTGGCGCCATTTCCCTCATGTTGCAAAGATAGCATTCATCAATCAGCACTCGAGCAAGCATGTCGCTTTCCTTTTAGGGAGAATGTCTCTGCCTTTTCCAAGACTGTCCCATAAATTAAATACAATGAGTACATTTCTCATCATGAGAAAGAAAGAATGAATGTGAGTATTTTTGATAACTCTTAACAATTATTTCTTTAATTTTGCCACCGCGCTGAATCTCTATGCTTCCTCATATTCAGAGATTCTACTTTCTTCCCAGTGTTGGAATAAGGAAAGATCAATCAAGATAATTTATAAAACAGAACTCTGACAAATATAAAATACTACAAATATAATTTATTGTCATCCATTAATTCAGACTTTCAAAGAACAG